GATTCCGACCAATCGTTCAAAACTGTTGTTGCTGACAAGCTGCGTAGGAATAGGCGAGCATGCCTCCCACTTTTCTTGCTCTTTCCATTTAAAAGCTATCGAAAAACTCGATGGAATCGATAGTCGCGGTTTTTAGCTTCATCTGATGATTTGGATGTTTTCAGGCAATTATTATTGTCCACCACGTTCCACATGACAATGTCAGTGAATAAGCACACCGTGCCTGAATTAGAATCAGTACAACATTCTGCGGAGTGTCTTTCTTCTCACCTACGACATCGGTCTAACATCGATATCTGCTAAAAATTCGAACATATGGTTTATCAAGGTTCTAGTCCTTTGTAAAACAGCTTTCGGCGATACCCTGAGTGCTATCCGTCTAACTTCCTGTTGTATTCTGGTCATAAACGCCACTTTCTCATTTCTTCGTAACCCATCGAGGAATCTGAGGACAGACTCCGCAGGATATGGCCTCTTGGGCTTAATTGAAGATGGTGGAGTTTAGCTGAATAACCATGCAGTGCTCATGTTCGCCGAGTATTGCAGTCATTGATAAAACAATAAGCTTCTAAATATTTAGCCAAATTTGTGACTACGGAACACCCAGTTTTCTGATTTTAGACAGTAAAAATACCTTCAGTACAACATGACCAAACAGTATATTCCTGTCGAGTGTTAACTTGATGACTTTGTTGACTGCTTGTCCTTATTAACTCTCCTCGACTGTCTCAAATTTTTGTGTGTTTCATAATGTGGATCTGAAAAGAACAGGCCTTGAAAGTCTCTTGAATAATACACACAAAGTCTGTCTTTCTTGACGAAGCCCTCAAACAAAGCACGTAAACTCCTTACCTGAATAACTGACGGACGTCCTATTTCCTGTTTCTTTTGAAAGGTTGCACGTCTGTAACCTCAACCTATAACCCTAGTATGGGAAAATATTCTTCGTGGAGGGGTCAAATTTTATCCTTGATGATGCAAATGGCCATAATTATTGCTTGGGCAGTTCCGCAGCTACGTACCCGTAGTGGAAAATGCTGCACTGTCATGCATCGTTCTGCGTGCGATACTGTGGTAATATATTTCAGAAGTTTGGGGTTCTATAAGATAAAGTAATCATCGCCTGCTTCTTTGAATATAATGTCCATCTCTAACCATGGACCAGGCGTTATTCTGTTAGTTAATTTACTCTCGGTGTAGTCAAACCGTGCAAACTGCCGCAAGTTTTTCATATTATTTGTCTTATTTTGGCAAAATATGCGGCAATCTTTCATTTTCAAACGCCAGTCTCTCGGCGACGTTTGTGGATAACCATTTGAATGCCACATAGTAGCCAATTGAAAATTGAGTAAACTAGGGTAGGATATGCTCGCCGATAGCGTTACATTGTGCTTTAGAGCTCGATCTAGAGCCCAGTAGGTAGTCGCACGACTAGTAATATATACAGAGAAAGACTGCCGACAAAGACAAGGGAGAGTACGATGGTCATCGCTGGCTTATTAACTATCGTCATCCAGCCTTGCCGAACTGCAGGTTCGGAGGTTCCTGAGGCCTCCGGACAGAACGTTGGTTTGTAACCAAAAGGCGCGGGTTCGAGTCTCAGGCATTTCCAAACCTGGGATTGGGGGAGGCCGGCTGCGACGGCTAGTGGGCCAGAAATGGCCATTACAGTCTCCCTTTTCTTTGTCTGTAGTTCCTCTCTCTCTGCAGTAAGCAAACTCTTCAAGCACTCATTAAGTGGCCAGCATTTTGCAACTTGCTACACGTTTAACTCTCGTTTTAAGTGTTGTAGAATGTTAATGACGGTATTTTGCGAACAAAGTGTATTTAGTGCTGCTCGATCGCGTTGCGTGGTTACTTTTTAGTGTCTCTTGGAGTCTGGACAGTTTTTGAGAGTCGATCATTCCTCAAACTACTTTGGATCATGCAGCAGACTGACAAATAGTACGAAATTTAAAGTTGGAAATTTTTATCCTTCGACCGCATTGCACTACCAACACTGAACCAGAATTACATTACCCACCAATGGCAAGACTGTGATTAATGACATTCCATAAATAGTTTCCGCGTAATTATACTCTTCTATGCGGAAGCCATGCTTCCTTGTGTATATACTGTCTGCAAAACGACAATCCAAGGTTGTAGGCGGTCTACTGAATATGAGTGAAAGTAAGATAACAAAAGGGGCTAACCCTGCTATAACTGAGTCAGTGTTTCTACAACGATGTCCTTGAGAGCTTTATTAGACCATTTGATATCCTAGGTGGCTATATGCTCGCGAATAGAAATAAGAAGCTGTGTACACTTGTAAACGGAGTTAAAATGAATGATTTCACAGGGCCACGTGAATGCCTTACTTCTTTGGTAAGGAAGATCTTTCCGAAATGACATTTACCTAACTTAACATCATGTTTTGAGGAATGTCGCCGTTATATAAAACAAATTATAGGCTTAACAATATTTTTCATGTAAAATTCCTTGCTGCTAAATCATATTTTTCTCTACCCGAAAATTACTCCTCATCTTTGAATTTTACTGGATTATGAACGCAAACACATCCAGGGTTAAGATTACCTCTGATGTTATCAAGCGATTTTTGCAAAGACCCGAGTCACCCGATTCTTTTGAAGTAAAGATGCTGGCTATTTTGCCAGCTATGAAACCGCCCTTCAGTCTTATATACAGTTTTGACCGTCTCTGATGCTATTAATGGCACCTTTACATCATATATGCCCCTGAAACTCGAATATTCGCTCACAATCCTCTCATCTTGCCTCTATTTTGAGCATTTGCAAATATCGTATAAATAGCCGACAAGAGGTCTGGCTATTTGGATTTTGAGTAAGATGCATAATATTGTGATGCGGTCTAGTTCCTGACAATACGGAATACAGCGTTAATCGTTTGGAGAATATCTTGGTTCATCTAACTCAGTTGTGAAAAACTCGGCGTCCTCGATGGGGTTCGAACCCAGGACAGCAGGGGCAAGGCTTGTGTAGAGTCAGCGGTCTAACCACCTGGAATACGAGGCCCCAACCGGAAGTCGCGAGTTTGATCAAATTTGAGTCATGTTACTCGCTCAGCCTACCGAAACATATAGGATCCACCAATTTTGATAAGTAGGCCTATTACCCAAACAGGAGTTCATAAGAAACCAGTCTAAATTCCATCAGATGACCCAGCCGGAAAAGCTCGGCGGCCTTGGTGGGTGAATTCCAAAGGTCTTAACAGGTTGGGCAAGCAAATTGACTCAAATGTGATTAAAGTCACGACCCCCGATCGAGGGTTCGTAGTTCAGGTAGTTGTATCGTTGGCTCACACAGGTTGCTATGGCTGTTATGGGTTCGAACTTCAACGAGGACGTTAAGTTGTTCACAGCTGAGTCAGTTAGATTGTGAAAATCTAACAAAACGCCCATCAGTATTTGGGCACTTGCAGGACTACTCTGTCGTATATGCATAATCGCAGAACGAAGTCTAAAGGCAAGCGAGATACAACGAAAATGACTTCTGAATAAAGAAAAAAGGATGTTTTCGTCTGCGATAGAAACTTATCAGCTTATGTCGGGGAAATACATAAGCAGGATGCTTGAATTTCTACCCTGGCTTTGGAAAAAGATGAAATATGCAGACATTCTTCAGCAAACTACCCTAATGAAGCACTTTCTAGAGGTAACTAGCTAGAGAAAGTTTATCAGTTGATCAAGGGCATATTTATTGCAGACTTCGTCGTGGTGCTTCATCTTCTCAGACGATTTGGTTTCATGTTCGATAGAACCTACAAACATGTTGCAAACAATTATCGCTCATTACGTGGGAAGGAACTTCCAAGATCTCTCTCATTTTGATAAGTACAAACTACCGAACCTATCTTTCGGGCATTCAATTGAAAAAACTGAAAACCGAAGGGACTCTACTGACATTCCAAGCGAATCTTTAATTCTAACGGACTTCACCCTTCCCGAAAAAAATAGGTTATTTTTTGGAGGGAAGGGTCCCTTGATATGCCTCCCAACGAATCACCTTATGAACACTTATTCCTGTAATGGTCCTATCGGCGACAATAAGTGAAATCCTCTTTACCTTAGTCAAATGCATCCCGAAAAGTGTACAAACTGAGAAATTACATCGAAGCATTTTGTAACTCCTTTGGAATTCACTATGAAACAGTAGACAGCTGACTAACTGTCTCATCGAATGATATTTTGATTCCTGAGAACATTTATCGTAACGGCAGTATAAAGGACCTTTTGAATGCTTTACGCTGTTTAATTAATGCAGTGGTCTATACGTGGAGTCTTTATGTACCTCTACAAAGATGTGTGGACATTTGACACAGACATGCGAGTTTCCGGTACTTCCGTTTTTCCGAAGAAAATTGTGACTTCTAACCAATGTAACATTGACATTAATACTTCTTCTGTTTTTATTTAATCAAGGCTCGCATATTATTCACTAAGATTTTCAATCGAAGAATTTGGAACGGTTTTCGATCAATTAAATATTTGTTTTATTTATGCAAGGCTCATGAGCTACGTCACCTGTACTAAATTTATATCAAATAACCGTATGGTCACTCTATTTATCATGGCATTTTGACGAAATATTGTTCCCTTTGAAAATATCCTACTTTCAAAATATGTGGATAAATAAAACCAAATAGCCGATCGAAGTTGTAAATGATCAGGACGACCGTGGGTAAAATAAATAAAAGTTATTGAAAACTTTGATGGTGTAAGGGGAAAATCCGTTGACAGTGGCTTAGTGTGCCAATGCTGGGCCCCCCAAACGGGCCACGAGATAGATGCGCTGGACCAACACGGGGCCATATCGGATTCTGGCAGGCGTCATCGGATTGTGCACCACATCAAATGCCAAAATTTAGGGGTGCAGTGGCGGACCCGGTTGTCGACAGTCGTCGCGCACACTGGGACCCCTGCCGACCTCCCCCATTATTGTTGTTGATTAAAAACCTATTCATTTGTTGTGTGGAGCAGGGGTATGGAGCGGAGCGTCAAGGTGCAGGCTCGACCATGCCATCCACTTGTGTCCTCTCACGCCTCCGGTCTTCTTGAGTCTGTCTTGACACCGGGTCCAGGTGTGGGAGGAGGGGAGAGTGCGGTAGATGCAGCACAAGTCCACCACCACTATAAACTAACTCGCGCGCAAGTCACCGTCCCTGTCCCGCCTTGCACACGATTAACATCGTCGAAACCGACGGTCGAACTCTTGTGTGCTAGTGCATACAACCCAACGGTGTTTTACGATTCCTGTATGAAAAATGGTATTTCGAGTGCAATTCAGAGCTCCACAATCAGCAAGTTTATGTGACTCAAAGGCTATTATATGAATTGCCGTTTGTGATATTCCGGCCTAAATGCGATCAGAGCGGAACCACGCAGAATCTTTAAACTTACTCGTAAGCTTTACAGGCATTTGCAACGGCCGCTGGATGATGAGATGCACAACTGCTGTGGTCAAAGTTTACACGATGGGGATAAGCTGAAAATGAGGTTACGACCAAAGTTCACGTAGGTTGAAGACAAACTTGTGGGATCTTTGAATAAACATGTAGCACCGTATAGTTGTTGTTTGTGTTTTGAAAATGTGGGGATCCATGCGATACGTTTACAAACCCTTGAAATGGCCCACTTGGCGGAAAACACTTTTAGTTAATCTTATAGGACTTGAGGTCATGTGTTTGTTAAGGCTCTGTGGACTGTCGCAGTGGTATCCGTCTAAATAAGGGTACTGGGTATCTGGCAGGAAGGATGTTCCGGTTAGTGTTGGGAATGCGGGAAGCTTCATCAAAAGGGGGGGGGTGAAAAAGGAACCTAATCTGCCTGATAAAAAGTTCCAAAATAAAGCCAGAAGTGCTTTTAACATGTTAACTGCGACGTCTACGGCTCCTTTTTAGCTCAATCGGAATGTAAGATCTTCATAACAAATTCGGAAGTTTACTTTTAATGGTTTTCATGAAACTCATCAAAATAATCTGTGAATATTATTTTGGGGGAAAAGAATATGGGAACGATCATTTCTAGTCAGGCATATTTCAGTGTGAACAGGCCTGGTCACCCGATCAAGGAGAATGTCAACTTATTTTCTCGATGTTGGTTTGAGCTCTCGAAGAAAATACTCAGAGGAGATGAGAAAACAATGAATCCCACGAGGTTGCTCTAGACCGGCTTGTAAACGTTTGAATATCAATCTTCCATCGAAGGTCCCTTTATCCAGTACCACGGTATCAACTAAAGCAGTACAACTGCCTATGCACGCGGAGATATTTTTCTTTTTCTTGAATATTACGTAATGTCAGTTGTTGTTCTGAGCAGTGATAAGCAAATGGTCATCTTTATAGTAGTCAAAAAAGCCACTAAATTTCTTAAAACAGAATGCTTTAAATTTGAATGTTGTTAAAGCACGATCGAGACCTTGCCTGCTAGTGAAGTCTTAAGTTCCTTGAAATTCAGTTTAGCCGAAAATGCATTAACCCCTTCCTCGTTTACATAAGCAAATGCATCTTGCCTCAAAAAACATTCCGCAACATTCCGCAAAACTGCATACTTCGCGCGAAAAATAACAAAATGCAAATTCTACATGATACTTGTGTTCAATTAGACTATGTAAAAACTCTCAACAGTCCGAAATCTTGAAAATTAGAACATTATGCACCTCCAGTTTGCTGGTTTCAGTCATTATACACAAAATAAATAGGATAAATGGGGTCTTTATAGGCACCAAAAAGCAACGAAGAAAGTTTATTCGTCTTGAATGATGAGGGAATGGCCTTAACCAACATTAACTGATTTTTGAGCGGAATTCGGAACTTCAGTTTGAAATTTGGCTCCAGGGTAGAGCCTTCATATGAGGCCGCAAAGCGTATAGCGAGTAAACGTTTTAAGGTTTTGCTGACAAAAGCAAAGAAGATTGCAAAGGCGGTGTTCATTTCACCTGATGACACAGACAGCCATTTGAAATATTCACGCCCTGGGGACTTCAAAAATCCCTGGTCTACATGGTCATGGGTCAGATATGTCAACTTAAATCGCCTTCATTTTTTTCGCTGCCACTCCTCATATTTTCCGTTTGCTCTATTTCCTTTGTTGGCCAAGTCTACAAACGATAGGCGTCTTCGTTAATTTTTACTGAGATTCATGCTAGCGTATGGACTTGAACCTTCTAATCTACAAACCTCAGAAAATTCTCAAAATAAACCGAACCTTGTCCATAACTTTCCCCAGCGAAATCTCGTTAGCAATACTGCCATCCGCAAAGCCTTTAAAATAGACATGTGACTAGTACTGCGTCAGTTGTATACATGAGTTGACCACGAAGAAATGGGATCTTCGACTAATAGGGCATACACTCTTCAAAGCCTGGGTTATGGAGAGTGCTCAGCGATACGCATTCTGGATACGCCGAACAAATTCCTTTCTGTGCACGCACTGCCATCTACGATCGAACCTGACGGTCAGAGTCAGGGAACAGCTTACTTTTTGACGCAAATATGGATACCGTTAAAATGATCAGTCCACAGGAATTTTGGTTAAAGCGTTACTTTTATTCTAAGTATACTTACGTGTTTTTATATAACCCCCACATGCTACCGGTACTATCCATATGTAATGCATCATTTTCATTTCTCGAAAACCTAACTTAAGAGTCTTTCTGAATTACGGGGAGAATGAAATGAGCGACGCAGTCAATCCGACCTTATCCGCAACATGAAATATAGTAAGGGACACAATAGGTTACAGTAAATACAAAAACGAGTTGCAAACACTTGTGAGCATCTTTATGTAATATCTCCCGACAAAATTATCCTGTCATCGAATCAAAAGTTACTTTCAACGTTAAGGGACATTTTGGATGCAATTAATACTTCGCATGGTTTGATCAGTCTTCTCATAATCTCCAAAACGTCCTTAAAACTGCGTGTACAGGACAGATATATTTCAAGTTTGACTTCCGCTGTTAATCAGCCCAAATAATTAATGTAGGCGGAAGGCGAAGAAAAGGATTCCTACGCAGTCCATCAAGTAGTTCATTGAAATTCTTACAACAAAACCTGCCACACGTCTAAAACGTCCCAGCGATTGGAGTAATTGACACGCCAATAGGTTAACAGGGACTATTCATTGGTCAAAATAGGACTACTTTCTGATTGGCTACTGGTTCACTGGCATAAGAGACTCGTCAGACCCTCTACAAATCAATCTCTTGGGGCGTTTCCGTGTGCCGCACGAGGACAAACCGACCAGAGTTGTCAATGAAAAAAGTCGTGGAAGCGAACCTTCAGAACCGCAACTTGTAATAATGAGTAGAGCGTATTCGTCCTTTTGTCCGGCGTTCAACCATAGTGCAGAGCAGGACGAGATTCCTACAATTGCCCTCGCAGCGTGGAAGTATGAAGAAGTCCTGATCTACCTCACTTTTATTCTTTTTATTCTGACAGTGGTTTTACTAAAGATCGTTTATCATAAAATCCCTCTGGTGGCGGCCTATCTCCCCGAATCCTTGCTCTTGATCGGGGTAGGGCTGATTTTTGGGGCTATTCTGAGGTACACAGATGCATTTTGCGTATTTGCCGAACACCTACGACTAACACCCCAATTGTTCTTTAACGTCCTTCTACCTCCAATTGTCCTGGAATCGGCCTACAGTTTGTACAATCAAAAATTTGCGCAGATTTTGGGTCCCATTTTGATTTTCGCCTGCTTAGGAACCGTCCTCAACTTCCTCCTCATTGGGGCAGGCCTTCTGGCAGTGGATCAGGCCATTGGGCTCGGTAATCCCGAACTGGGTCTCAATTTCCGGGAGTTTCTTTTGTTTGCCTCTCTCATAGTTGCGGTGGACCCTGTGGCTGTACTGGCCATATTTCAGGATATCGGCGTGGATCTGAGTCTCTATTACCTCGTATTCGGAGAGTCTCTCCTAAACGATGCAGTTACTGTGGTACTCTACAACATCATGAGCGCCTTTGTGGCGACAGAGGAGGTCACACCTGCGCAAATTGTTATTGGCATTGGATCCTTCTTTACTGTCAGTCTTGGTGGAGCTATGATAGGTCTCATCCACGGCGTCCTATCTTGTCTCCTCACGCGTATGAGCGTGGCCTCGGAGGGCCTACTGCTTCTCCTCATCAGTTACCTGTCCTACATTGTTGCCGACATGTTTGCCTGGTCAGGAATCATTTCGATTATCGTATGTGGCGTGATTCAAGCCGCCTATGCCTTCCACAATCTAACACATCTCTCTGTCATGCTGATGAAGGCTGCGTTGAAACAGATCTCTGCTATCAGCGAAGCAATTATCTTTCTGCTCCTCGGGTCGGAGGTTTTTGCTCTCAACCTTCAATGGCACACCGGACTGACGCTTACTGCCCTGGTTATTTGTCTTATTGTGCGAACCCTAGTGGTCTTCACCTTATCTGCGACTATCAACGCATGCCGGCTCATTGACAGCAAGATCGAGTGGACAGAGCAAATCATAATCAGCTACGGTGGTCTGCGCGGCGCTGTGGCGTTCTCGCTCGCAATTCTCGTCAATTCCAATTTTTTGGGGAACAACGGAGACCTGGCACGGGATTCCATCGTCACAACAACCCTAGCTATCATCTTGTTCACAGTTGCGGTAATGGGTACAACCATGAAGCCCTTAGTAAAACTCTTGCGCATTCGGCTTGACAGAGGTGAGAAGAAAACACTATTTGTGACGCTTAACGACTCCATGCTGGACAATGTTCTCCTCTTTGTAGAGCAGTTAATCTCTCGTCGAGGCTACAATCGAATCAGGCACTTTTTCGTAAAACTCGATGACAGATACATCCGACCAGCGCTTCAGCGGAATGCTGTCACACACGACAAGAAGATACTAAAAACATATGAGAAAATGGCACTAAAGATGCACTCAGAGGCGATTTCTTCACACAAGGCGATCGGTACTGCAGCTCCTGTGGAGGATGCGGAAGAAACAGTGGACATCTTGAGGCCGCTCATCCAAGTCGAACGTCCCTCAGAATCCGAATCAACCTCCTCAGTCTCCTCACCAGAGGCTGAAGTGGACGTAATGGGTGTTGGGTTGGATCCGGTTATACTGAGGAACCGTGGTGCCGCAAGGATGCAGCGTCGGTTCACTCTTGCTTCCCTATCCCGAAACGCAACCGAGGCCGGGCTTCGGTCGCCGCAAAGGCAGGTAGCCGACTGGGCCCAAGTGGCGCAAATTGCCAAGGTGTATCGCAATCAGGCTCATCTGGCACACGCAATGGACAGATATATTAAACGGCAGATGTCCATTTCGCGGAGCCTGGACGAGCCCGAAGGAGCAAGCAGTGCTACTGAGCGACGCATTCGTTTTGCTCGACAACACGACGAGCACCGTAAATCGATGCCTGCGAAACTGGGTCGTGCTCTGCTGAGAAGTAGGACCAAGAACGATGACCCCACAACTCAACTGTAACATAAAAGGATGCAGCAAGTGAAGAAGACCAGGTAGGTGTGGGAAAAAGAAAAATGACCCCGCTCAAACTCTCATTCCGTTCGCATTTACAGGTATTTCTGAACTAGATTTGGAAGTACTGATTTATGCTGAGACTAGAGAGTATGTGAATGATACTTTTCATAAAGAGGTTCATTTTTACACCACCAATAATGTCTTGCATTCTACATCCTTTTAGATATACTTTACTGCTTAATATTTGGTCGCACTAAGACCGATGATCAGATAAAAAAGCTGCAGGTGTACAGATGTAGATCTAAATGTCATTTACTGCCAAGATATGAAGGTCGGAATAAATTGTTCGTTAAGAAATTTTACGGTCGCCATGCAAAAGGTCAAAAAATAGGCTCTACCAAGGTAAGATGTGGTTTGGTAGCCCCATCTGATGGACACAATACTGTTGAGGTTGGGGTTAAGAGTTAGTGTTAGGTGTTATGGTTAAAGATTAGGGTTAGGGATTGGGATTAAGGGTTATAGCTCAACTATTTCTCAACCATTGATAGTACAACGACGCACTCCCAATAGCTTTTCTTTTGCATACAACTACTTGACCTCGTCACCTGTACGTTCCCCGGCCCCACCCGTAAAAACCCCCTATTACTACCGGTCCCGTATTAGAGGTGAATGGGGTTTGCGTACTCCAGGTAAGATTACCAAACCACATCCGACCGCTACGAACAGCTTAAGACAATAACGTCTACCATGCTTCACGCGACTGCGATTTACCAGGCAGCAACATGTATTCGCCGCCATGCTATAAACTGGAGCAACCGAAAGTCCGCATCACATGGTGGCACGCGAATAAGGGACTCTATAAAATACCTGGAAACCTTTATTGATGGTCAACCACGAACGGCCAGTGTAAAATGATTGCAATTGAGCTAAAAATTAGTCAAATAACAAAATCACCTAACTCACCCTAGAACAACAACCTCTCCACCTAGCCATGTTGGCATCGCTGCCGTTAAAGCAGTTGCATGTAGGATAATCAATCGAGGCAAAAGTGGAAACATTTATCATCAGGCCAAATCAACACCCTCAAAAGTACTTTAAACCTCGTGGTTTTATTGTACATTTTAGTTTCCAGGGATAAAGCGTAGCCAAGGCTGTTCCCAGCGTCAGGCATTTAAAAAAGTTGCCTCAGTGATGTTGATAGTGTCGACCGCTCGTGCTCTTTAGACTGTTCCAAGACTGATTATGTCGAGATGAAACTCATTTACAGATGAATGGAATATCCCAGTCTAAATGGATCTTTTTATAGAAATGCACACTCAAGCAAACCTAACATTGGCAAATATGTATAAGCCTTTATCATCATTTCCGACCGAAAAGGAAGTATTATTTCAAAGTAGCTAAATTTTCCTAAAATCTAAAAATTTAGACCTAATGTGCCACAATCGAATAGAAAAGAACAAAATCTGCTTGTTGGATAGACACAGTAGGTAATTTGCCAAAAGTTTCAAAAAACGAAAGTCGCTTCACTTTTTCCTGAAATTGGTCTAAGAATCCGGCAGTTTCAGTGCTTTTGACAATTAGTCTTATTAGCTCCTAAGGCTAGTTGCATATACCAGTGATAAATCAAACATCAAAGCGTGCTTTGATTACTTTTATGATCAAGATTTCATGCTGGTCGAAAGCGCTCCGAAAGTTGACGTAAGTTATAGGCAGAATTTTAGAACCTCTGCTGATATCATTGGATATGATTTCAAATAGAAAACCTTGTGTAAGTGTGGTTGTGCAATAAATAAGCATGGGATTTCTGTGGTGTAATGACCAGTGCGTCATCTTGCTCAACAGAGCGCCACGATTAGATGCACTGCCCTTACGATTCTTCCATGATATTAAAATAAAAAGGACATCGTAAATCCTTGCTTCCTGACACGTTACCTTTCCGTTGGGAAACCCACCAGTTACCCATGGGATCGCCCCAGGAAATCGAGTTGCTGACGTTGAATATATTTTCCATCATTTCAACTATTATTGTATAAATTCAAGTGATTTTCATGGGCGGAGTTTTTGAACAGTTCATTTGGTAGGAAGTGATGTCATGTTGGAGGCAAGTATTTGAACGAAGTTTGATACTTCGGTCTTGGAAATATGGTAGCTAATGAGGGAAAAATGAATTTCTTAATGTCACTCTTAAAAATACCAGCCATTTAAGATCTCTTCGGGTGCTTTCTATGGTTTAAAATTAGCGTGCATATAAACATTTAAAAACTAATGTATATTCTTCCACGAAACATCCATATTAGGCAATTTTAAATTTTCAAGAAAATGTAAAAGGGCCAGTAGTCTTTAAAAACTACGAATCATAAAATCCTACAGAATACATGTAGTCTAAGCCTTCAGATGCAAACTGTAGAAAGTGGCCGCTTTTCTAAAGAGTGACCGTATGCTAACAACGTCTGGTCAGTTCCAAGGTAGAATACTTATTTATATGTAGGCCTTAATATAAGTAAAAATATATTCTACATGGGCTGTGACAGGTGCCGATGACAGGAGAATGAACGAATGACAAAGGTGACCATTCATTCTTACCGGCGAGGAAGACCAAATTATGTTATATTTTCCGTTTGGCATAGAATTTAAGGGCTCCAACCGACATTTTAGGAAATTAAGGTGCGCTGTACTTTACCAACAAGCGGTCTAAAACAAAATTGTTTCCTTCATACTTTATTTGAAATAGGTTCATTGCGTGAACTTGAAACAGGAAAACTGTGAAATTACCTTAGATATAACCTAACGTTTTATAGCGCAGTGAAATAAGCAATGGATATTGAGAATTCAGTTTTATTATGACGTGAAGCTATTTATTTGTTAGAAATCCGGAGACATTTCGCAAGAGAATTTAACTAAGTTCAGATCGTAATTTTTCTGGTCATCGGAAGCCCCCGTCATAAAATAACATAAAAAGAAGGCAATATGTGGTTGCCACGACATAAGCGGTTAGATGTGACCGACTGACGGCGACAAGTACGCCAGAAATGGCCATTTCAGTCACCTTTACTTCATTTCAAGCATTCTTCTAGTTACTGTTTGCGCCCCGGTGTCAGCGGTTCTAGTTCACAGCTCCTAAGGGGAACAGAATGGTGTGTTATGGTGGTAGGAGGCGCTCACCGATAGTTCTTACGAAAATCAATGAGCGCCCCCTACTCTTGTATATTCCCGATCGAAAACCAACAGGGCAACGGGCTCGTGGCCCAGTGGTTAGAGGCGTGGACTTCCAACTAACAGGTCGCGAGTTCGAGCCTCGGGTGTTCCACACTTCGGGGTTGGGTACGACTGGTTGACGACGGCTAATAAGCCAGACATGACCATTCCAGTCTCTCTTGTTTTTGTTGGTAATAACATAATGGTGTGTTATATTTTGCAATCAGGTATTTCAGAACGTTCTTTCAATATGACTTTGAAATATATTATTTGAATTCCGTACTCTCGCACTTTGCCTGTTTATTCATTGTAGTATGGCACCACTGAAGGCATGCATTCGAGCAATGTGTAGTCAGGCTATGATACTTTTCCCTCTCTGGTGGTTTTTTCACAGAAAATAAGCCGTCGTGTCATATGTAACCATCTTTGAATCGATTGACGAAATGGCGCACTTCGAGAATGACGAACAAGTCTTTACGCATGATGCTGGAAAACTGACTTGTCACCTCCTTGATTTTTGGCTCTTGGAGACAATTGTTTTGACTCGGAAGAAACTTTAGTATTGCCGGATTAGATCAAGGGGAGTGCCCTGAAGGTCCGTTCGCCAGGTTGCATATCGCAACGAATTTATAAATGGACTCAATTATGAATGGGGGATGCCACATATGGTTGACTTTATTCAAGGTCTCCCTCAGAAAGTCATAAAGATGGGTAGAAACGATGAAAAAGCGCTTAGAGAATGGTTGGAAAGACCTTACGGACAAAGACCAAATGACATTTAAAGAAGTCTGACAAAACTGACGAGTACCTCCAAGACAGTATTTTAACCGAGAAGTCCTTTTTGTAAAGTCTTGGAAGTGAAACAACAGATACGAGTCTGGAGTCTTTACGTTGTACAGAGCTCTATGATCATCAAATTTTCGCCGGTCACCAGCGGCCTGTTTCGGGTTCACATGCGGGGAAGACGCTTGACAACTCCAAGCCTCGGCGTGCAGTCAAATTCAACCCTGATTATTTGGAGATTATAGGAAGCGAAGGAGCAGGAGCTGGTGAGAATGCAATACGAGGCGTCATATGGGACCCGGAAGTCGGGAAATCGCTGCGACACACGACGCTTGTTAACAGTTGAAACCGAATATGGCAAGGACAGGTTTCATAAGTAATGGTGACGGCGAGTGGTCATACTGAAGTTGTGGAAAAATAAACAACCTTACAATATACTTTAGTGCTCTGGTTATGTAGACGGATATATCTGCAGTCAACTAGAAGTCAAACTTAGTTAGAAAATCTGAGCGAAGTATCGCACATAGGACATCATCGATAATGAAAATTAAAGAAAACGAACGACGGAACTCAGATCAACAGTGGGAGGGCCGACAGCGTGCAGTGAAACATAAAAACAGCTGAAGGCTTACAGATATAAACCACTGTTTTCGTCAAGAGGGTCTCCGGCCGTGGGAATCCCATTAATCTGGACTCCAAAATCTATGAGGGAACATCTGAAAGTCAGTGTATCGTGTGCATAGAATTCCGTTTTCTCATTATTAGAATTACAACATTGTAGAAGGAATTGACAGAACCTTTTACTCCCTTTTGGTAGCGGCCTCAGACTGGCACTTTCCTGGAGTTTAAATGCGACGGACTGCACTATTTGAACTGGCAGTTTAGGACCTATCTCCTTAAGCGCCTAAGTGAATGAAGTGCGCAGTGGATTGTTCCAAATTGTTGGACTTGGCAATTCTGAATGAGAAATCGGAAGCCTATTCTCCGGTATGAAGCTAAAACAGACATACACAGCAGAATTTATTGAT